GAGGATTTTGAGAAAGCACTAATGCCATCGAAAAAAGGCGAAAGACGGTGTAAATGCCAGAAAGCAAATGATGAGACGGAAAAATAGAAGAACGAAGAAGGAGACACGTGCGAGGCGAGAATGCACAAGCTGGGGGATGCAAAAGGGAGCAAGGTGATAGAGCCAAGCGGGTTAGGTTGGTTGGTTGAGAGGGGTCAGAGGCTGAGGAGCGTGCGGCTGCCAGATGCCGGCGGTCGGAGCGTGGTGAAGAACGAAGTCCGGGCCATTTGGGGCGCGGAGTAGTAGAGCGAAGCAACGGGATCCGAGGCAGACGAGGGGCGGGGCGGGGCGGCCGGGACGGGGGGGGGGCGGCGAGCAGAGCAGGGCTGGAGGCGGGACGGGTTGAGTAGATCGGGGCCGGAAGGGGCTAAACGGAGCCGGGGGTGGAGACAGAGGCGGTGGTGGAGCAAAGAGCGCGGGCGGAGCAGAGCAGAGCGGTGGAGCCAGAGCGTGGGCGGAGCAGAGCAGAGCGGGCGGGCAGAGCGGGGCGGAGCCAGAGCGGGGCGGAGCAGAGCGGCGGAGCAGATCGGGCGGCCCAGAAGCAGAGCGGGGCGGAGCAGAGCGGGCGGAGCAGAGCGCGGGCGGCAGAGGCGGGCGGAGCAGACGGGCGGAGCAGAGCGGGGCGGAGCAGAGCGGGCGGAGCAGAGCGGACGAGCAGAGCGGCTGCGGAGCAGAGCGGGTCGGAGCTGAGCGGGGCGGAGCAGAGCGGGCGGAGCAGAGCGGGGCGAGCAGGAGCGGGGTCGGAGCAGAGAACGGGGCGGCAGCGGAGCGCGGAGCGGGCGGGGCGGAGCGGGGCCGGAAGCGGAGCGGGGCGGAGCGGAGCGGGCGGAGGTGGGCGCCGAGCGGGGCCGGAGAGGAGCGGGGCGGAGCGGCTGAGCAGGTGGGACAGGGCGGGATGAGGTGGAGCGGGGCCGAGCGATGCACGTCAGCACGTCAGAAGATGGCGCTTTGCCATGTCCCCCTCCTCGACAGCACCGCCGCCTCCGATTCTGCAAACCTCCCATAACAACAAGATATTTCCATACAAGAACGCGAAACTTCAGATAAAATATTCCTCTCTGCGCTGGTGGAGTTTTGTTCTTCTTTCTTACGTCCCGCATCGTTTGATCCTTTTTTTCTCCATGAGTCGTGTTTGAATGTGATTTCTTTTCCTTTCCAATTTGTGTCCGCGAAGGACGCTCTTGAATGTTTTAATGCAAATCGAAACAAATACGGTAATTCTCATGCCCAAACTAATAAAATTTCCGAGTATATTTTTGGAGATCGTGGGTGGTGAGAGGAGGGGAAATTGTGTTTGTAGGATTTGTCACACGCGACTTCAATATTATCCTCCGATGTGTTTGAAACATGCTTGTCTTGTGATAGTATATTAACATTTTGGAATTTTTGAGAATTTATTCTAATTGCTTTAATGCGTTTCAAAGTAATTTTGGTGTAACAGGAATAAAGTGATAGCTATTCAGTTTTAAATAAATGTTTGTCACATATTATTAGATTAGGCTAGTGACTGATATAAAACGGTATAAAAGAATGCTTAAAATGTGTGCCAAAAGCAATATTTTGCTATCTGTTAGTTATGTAATGACATTTATGCGTCGAGTGTTGGAGCTGAAGTTTTATTAAATTACGAAGAGCCGTAAGGAGATAGAATGTTTCTTAATTTACAATTATTTCTCCAATTAGATTAAAACAACTAATATTTTCCATTTCTAATTAATCAAGTGGGATCATTAAAAACAAATGTTTATTTACATTACTATTTTTATTGCGTTGTTAAAATGTTGTCTTGAAAATATTTAGATATAAAGGAAACATCAAAATATTGATATTTTTTGTGCATTTGTCCATTCATTTTTGCTACCTTTCATATTTCAATAATTTATGGGACAACGTTTCTCATTAACATAATAGTATAAGCAAATGGAATTAATTACAAACCTAATAGTGCAGAATTGTGAATGTAATTATTCTAACACGTAAAATACATTTACTTGATTGATAGTTTAATTTTACATTTTAATTAATTTTTAAATTTTAATTTTACTGAAAGGAAAAGTAATGCATATATCTGTTAGATTTTATTTATTTGCATCATAAAACAATAAAAATTGTATGTGACATACGAGGGAAAATAATTTTATAGATGATTGATTTTTTTCATCTTTACTTGTATGTTGCTCATTCACTCTTATCAAGAAAAACTAGAAACAAGCTCTGTGTCATTTAGAGTTGATGCTAATTTGAACTCTTGCCTCCTTTCCAATAAAAAAAATCTGGGGAAAAAAATCTGCGTTTGTATTCCTGTAATTCCCAAATGTCCAATCTGCTGCGTTGCTTGGCTTCTTGGAAAGTAAACTCTCGTCTCCAAACGGAGGTAAGGATCTGATGTGGATTACTGCGAATATAAGAAAGCAGCAAAAAGTTGCCTTATTAATATGGGTTTTTTCTTTCATTAATATCCCACCCCCTACATCATGGATATTAAGGAAAAGCGAACATCGTCCGGCTTCCTTATCCCCCTGTATTCTCTTTGACTTTATTCACACCACACCACACCCCATCTTGTACACACCTCCTTCATTTCCATTCTTCTCTCTCTCTCTCTCTCTCTCTCTCTCTCTCTCTCTCTCTCTCTCTCTCTCCCTCCTTCTCTCTCTCTCTCTCCCTCCTTCTCTCTCTCTCTCCCTCCTTCTCTCTCTCTCTCCCTCCCTCCTTCTCTCTCTCCCTCCTTCTCTCTCTCTCCCTCCCTCTCTCTCTTTAACTATTTCACAAGGTCTATGAATGTTTTTCTCCCTATCTCCTCTCAATCTTTCTCTTGCCGTTTTCTATCCGATCTTTTATTTCTCACCCCCTTTCTTTCCCTATCTCGCTTCCCCTCTCTATTTTATCTTTCTTGTTCGCCTCTTTTCCCTCTTTCCACTATTTTATATGTATTCTTCCGTTCTGTTTTCTCTCTTTCTGTTTTGTTGTTGCCCTCCGCCTCAGTATCTCATCTTCGTCGTTGCTCTTTGGCGCTGTAGCGCGGGACGTTGCTGTAAGCGAAGGCGACGTTCGTCTATTGTGTTCTGAACATCAATGGGGTGTGCAAAAACTTAGACCGTAAATTCATGCATGCTATTCTCAGCTCGCAGAATTGTGAAAATGTATTTACAACATATACATAGAACTTTTAGGACTCTTTGTAAGCGCAGAGTTTGCGTTCCATTTCACAAAGCTAGAAACCATTACACATGGATGCGTTTGAAATTATTCGGGCCATATTTAAGATGGCTGCGGACCGTAAATGTAGCACGAAAGGTGGCAGAAAAACTACTTCAAATATAAAATGGATTTATTAAATGTTATTCCTAGAGTATGAATTTATTTTCAGTGAAAAAAAGTATAAATCTTATATATCATTAACAATATCTTCAGAGCATCTATATATTTTCTATGTATACAAAGCTCTCTAGCTTGTAAAAATATTTTGAGAGTTTAATAGAAAATTGATAAATTGAAATTACATATGGAAATAAGAGTACATTTAAAACATCGCAAAAATAATTTTGGGGAACAAAACAAAATCTAAAACCATATTTCAATCATTAACACATTAATACCATTTCATTCTACAAACTATACATTTTATTCTTCTGGTATGTTGGTTTTAAACCCATCGTGAATTGCAGTTCACATATAAACACAATATTGATAGCAATTTTAGAATCAAGGCAAGACAAACACGGGGATGAAATATATCCACTTCCGCGAGAATAGATAACCCTGAACAATATTACCAGGGAATTGAAGTTGGTGCAAAGTTTATTTGTATTTTTATTGAAGCCTTTGGGACACAAAGTTACTGCGGGAGAATTATAGCGCTCGATAAGGCTGCGTTGAGTTGGCAGATCGCCCTAGAGGCGATATGTCCGTGCGCTACTCCCTGGGAGTGGAGATGCCAGAAGCTGCACGCGTTGGCCCCGCCAACGTCCATCCAAGCTCCAACACGGTATTGCACCAGAGGCCATCCCGGATCCGCTGAGACCCCGACACGATCCCGACACGATCCCGACACGA